ATAGTAAGATATCAATGTAAAAGTCTATATAAGCCATATCAATGAATTACGAGGGAATCATTCTGAACCCTCTTTCTCTTTTCACTCTTTTATGGTATCAGGAGTCTCTCGCTTCAGATTCTTTCGCTGCCATGGCTAACTCTGCTTTGTCTTCCACCAATAACATCATTCCCGCCACCAACACCACTCCTACTGCCGACACTAACACTTCTGCTACTCCATCTTCTTCTCCCATTCATCCAGTTCTCAGTCTTTCGAATATCAAGAACTATGTCTCTCCAATTCTTGATTACACCAATTATATGTTATGGAAGGAACTCTTTCTCCCTGTCTTGCGTGGTCATGGAGTCTTCGATCACGTCGATGGCTCTTCTATCTGTCCTCCTCCCACCATTTCTAACTCTTCAAACAATCCAATTCCAAATCCTGCTTACCAAACCTAGATCCAGATTGACTCTATAGTCCTTTCTTGGATTCAGGCTACGATCTCTACCGAAATACTCCAAGCCATCATTAACCCTAGTCGTACTCTCACTGCTTACGAAGCATGGACTATGATTGAAAGGCTTTTCCAGGATCAGATTGGTTCTCGCATCCTTCATCTTAAAATGCAATTCCATAACCACAAGAAAGGTGATCTCTCCATAAACGACTATGTCCATCATCTTAAATGTTTAGCCGACTCTTTGAATGTTGTTGGCGGTTCCGTCTCTGATTCTGATTTAGTGCTTCAAATTCTATCTGGATTACCCGCCGATTACTTGCCTGTTTCTACTGCAATCTCTACTAAGATTCGTCTTCCTTCATTTGTTGAAACTAGGGCTTTGCTTTTCATTCATGAAACTCACCTTAACCAACATAACTCTACTTCCTCCAACTCCTCTTCGACTGCCCTGGTTGCACAAACTCCTCCTGATTCCTCTCCAAACTCAACTCCACAAACTCCAGCCTCCTCTTCCTCTAACCGTGGTCGTGGTCGTGGTCGTCAAAACTTCCACGGTCGCGGTCGGCGGTCGTGGCCGAAATCAGGGATTCCCAAACCCTAACCCTCATTTTTACCCCTATGCCTCATCTCCAAATCAGGGTTTTGCCAATCCTCATCCTCGTGGAAATTCCATTCTTGGACCACCACCCTTTCCCCATAACTCTACTCGGTGCCAGCTTTGTATACAGTACAATCACACTACTTGAGATTACTATCAATTCAACCAACCGGCTTTTTATTTGGACAATTCTAATCGTTCGGTTGCGTCTTCCTCCATCCCTCCTTCTGTGGACACAAATTGGTATCTAGACACTGGCGCCTCAAACACTATGACTCCCCATGCAGGTACTTAGTCTTCTCCTAAGCCCTATCATGGTTTTAATCGTGTTGTTGTTGGCAATGGTACGTCATTAAATATTGCATCCACTGGTTCCTTATTGTCTCCCTTATTCAAATTTCCTTATGTTTTTCATGTTCCTAATCTCACCAAAAATCTCATCTCTGTCTGCCAATTTACAACTGACAACTAATGCTCTCTTGAATTTGACCCTATTGGTTTCTCTGTGAAGGACCTTCGGACGAAGAAACTCCGCCTTTGTTGCAACAGTTTGGGTCCTCTTTATACCTTTCCGATTGCTCCTCCTAGTGTCTCTACTGCCTTCTCCGTTGCCACCACCCCTCCTTCAGTTTGGCACTTTCGGCTAGGTCATCCACATGCACCAGTTTTATTCTATCTTTCTGCTCAACTACCTAAGTTTGTTTCATCCGCAAATAAAGAACCCGAATCGCTGTGCCGGGCTTGTTAACTTGGTAAACATCAGCGGCTCCCGTTCTCCCCCTCCACAACATCTACTAGTCATCCTTTTGAGTTAATTCACACGGATGTTTGGACATCTCCTTGCTTATCATTTAGTGGTTTCAAGTATTATGTACTTTTCTTAGATGACTTTACTCATTTTTTATGGGTTTTTCAATAAAATTCAAATCAGAAGTTTATGCCAAATTTGTGTATCTTCATTCTCTCATTTCAAATCAACATAATACTACCATTAAAACACTCCAGTGTGACGGTGCCGCCGAATATGTCACTTCTACTATCTTTCGTGATTTTCTCAATGCCAAAGGAATAAACCTTCGCGTTTCTTGCCCTTATACCTCGCAACAAAATGGCAAGGCCAAAAGAATGAATCGCACAATTCTCAATATGGTGTGTTCTCTTGTAGGTCATGCTCAACTCGCGGACTAAATTTTGGGTAGAGGCACTCAATACAAGTGTTTATCTTATTAATCGACTACTTTCAAAATCTATATCCGATTTTAGCCCCTTTCAACTTCTTTACAACACTAGTCCGGACTATACACATCTTCGTGTCTTTGGGTGTGCTTGTTATCCCAACCTATCTTCCATTGCATCAAACAAATTATGCCTCGTTCTGTTCAATGCATCTTTTTAGGTTATCCCAACTCATATAAAGGATACCGCTGCTTCGATCCCCTCACTAACAAAGTATATATCTCACGTCATGAGACCTTTGATGAAAATCTTTTTCCTTACACACATAATCTTTCCCATCCACCACATTCTACCATATCTCCTTATTCCTTTAAATCACCTTCCTTTTTAGCACCAAAATCTCTTCCAAATCCATTTGTAAGGTCGCAGCCACCTCCAAACCCTAATCCGCAATCGCCTAACCCGAATTAGCCTCCTCCAAACCCTCATCCGCAACCTCCCTGTGAGTCCAGCCCTATCCCTTCTTCAAACACTTCGCCTATCCAAACAAAGTCCTCCTCTACTTTGCCTTTATCTCCTTCTGCATCATCATCCAGTCCTACTAAATCTCACAAGCCATCTCCTCCTCGTCAACATCCCATGATCACTCGCACACAAGACGGCACTCGCCGCCCTAAAATTCTTCCATCCCTATCCGCAACCAGCACTTCTTCTTCTTTACCTCACCCTTCTTTCATTTACTGAGACCAATAAATTCCCGGAATGGCGTCAAGCCATGTGTGTCGAATATAATGCTCTCATTCAAAACCAAACTTGGCAGCTTGTTCCCCCTCCTGTTAATGCCAATGTTATAGGTTCCAAATGGATCTATCGTGTCAAAATCAAAGCCGATTCGATCGTTGCAAGGCCATATTAGTCGCTCAAGGCTATAATCAACAACCTGGTCTTGACTACGACCAAACCTTTAGTCCCGTGGTTATGCCCGTCACCATACAGACTGTTCTCACTATCGTAGCTTCTCTCAAATGGCATGTCCACCGGTTGGATATTAAAAATGCATTTTTGCATGGCCATTTAACTGAGACTGTTTACATCAAGCAGCCTAAGGGTTTTGTTCATCCAGACCATTCTCACTATGTCTGTCGATTGAACAAAGCTTTGTATGGCTTAAAACAAGCCTCTAGCAACAAAGAAGTCTGTCGCTTCGCTACTTTTCTCTTGAATCAAGGGTTTAAATGCAGCCGTGCGGATTCTTCTATGTTTGTTCTCAAATCAGGCTCTCATATAGCAATCCTTCTTCTTTACGTTGATGATATATTGATCACGGCATCTAATGATCAATTTCTCGCATCTCTAATCAACTCTATGAAAGGATCTTTTGCCATGACGGATCTTGGCCCAATCAGTTATTTTTTGGGGATTTCTATCAACAAGTTCAAAGGCGGCTGGTTTCTTCATCAGCGTAAATATGATGAGGAGCTCTTAGTCCGCAGCATTCTGCTTAACTCCACGCCGGTTGCAACTCCCCTCTCTCCTGCTTTCCAGTTTTCAACCGAGAATTCCCCTCTTTTTCATAACCCGTCTTTATATAGAAGCATTGTGGGCGCACTGCAGTACCTCACCTTTACTCGCCCAGACATCCAGTATGTTGTCAATTCAGTATGTCAACACATGCATAATCCGTAGAAACAACATTATACTGCTGTAAAACGAATCTTGCGCTACATCAAAGGCACTCTCGATTTCGGTCTTCACTTGAAAGCAGGTTCTCTTGATCGTATTATCACTTACTCCGACACTGATTAGGCAGGTTGCCCCGTCACTCGTCGTTCAACGACGGGATTTTGTGTATTTCTTGGCTCCTCACTGGTTTCTTGGTCCTCTAAGAAGCAAGCCACGGTCTTTCGATCCTCGGCTGAATCGGAATACCATGCTGTTACTTCTGCGGAAACAATGTGGCTTGAGTATCTTCTTTCTGATCTTCATATCAAACTCCCGAAGAAACCCTTGATCCTATGTGATAATGTCTCCGCAACATATCTTGCTGTCAATCCCGTAAAACATGCTAAAACCAAGCATATTGAGCTTGACATCCATTTTGTGCGGGAACGAGTTGCAACTGGTTCCTTAACAATCGAACATATTCCCACTCTTCGACAATGAGCTGGTCTTCTTACAAAATCTCTTTCCAAAGACAAGTTCGTTCCAATCTCGGCATGATCTAGTCTCCTGCTTGGATTGAGGAGGCTAATAGAATGGAAAGTATTCTCTGGATATGTATAAAAAGGATTGTTCTTTGTGTAAACAAAATTGTTAGAGATCAGATCATGTGTTGTAAATATTGTATCAATGTAAAAGTCTATATAAGCCATATCAATGAATTGCGACGGAATTATTCTGAACCTTCTTTCTCTTTTCACTCTTTTATTTTAGGAATGAAATCAAAACTATAGAGGATGATGGTAAAGAAGATAAAAACGAAACGCAGAGGCAGAGATTTATATCTATCAGAGTTATAAGAATGAATTAGATGAGCTCCATATTTGCTTGTCAGAAGCAATATATTCTGAGTTTCTTTTGCCTAAAGAATTCTGCATCTCTCAATCAACCAAAAAACATGCAATTTGCATCTATTCAAAATGCCATGCGACCCCCTATTGTCCAAAAGATGGAAGACAACCGGATGAGGACGACTTATCCTCGATTCCTAAGAGACCAGAAAACAAGTGAACAGCTCTTGTAACTCGAAAAGCTGTTCAACACGAGATCCCGAGAGAGAAATCAGGACCCAGTTTTGCCTTTTGATTTCTGCTTCAAGCTCGTGCCTAATCCCACGGGCGCCGGATCTTGTTGTACGGGCTTTGATTCATGAATTGGGGCATCCCCAGCTACACTTGGAGGATGGCCATTGACTTCTTTGTTGCCTCCATTATTTTCATTATTAGCTGTTTCAGAGTTCATGCCAGAATGTATGATGTTGAACAGCTGCTGGGTGAGTGGGGGTATTGCCTGAACTGGAACACCATGGGGACGTATCGTAAGGCCCCTCGCTGCAGCTTTTTTTCTGGCTTCTGCAGCTGCTCGGGCAGCCCTTTCATCACCCCCTCTCCGAGGAAGTGCCTCAGCCATTATAGCCGCATTTAGCGACTTATTCATGGTAGCACTGGAATTGCCAGATCCACCAGCAACAGCAGCAGCTTGAAATGCGTGTATCAGATCAGGATGGGCCTGAAACGAAGAACTTTGGAATTAATAAAAGTAGCAGCAACAGATATGAAAGAATGAGAAGACCTTTATATGTTATGCTAATTGATTTGGATACGTGATACACGGTCCAAAAGTTGATCATCGAATCAATGAAACATGCATCTATAAACACAGGTATTGCCACCCCTCAGTGAAAGGTAAATCAGAATATGACCAATGCTGGGAGAAAGTTACTGCAATTGTCCACAATATACACTAGAAGTATCCTCCAAAGATGGAAGAAAATCACAACAGGCAAAGGATCAGAACAAAACTACCTTGAGAATATCAATGGCTTTCTGTGCAGAAGCTGGATTCAGAGCTTGACCTTTCTGTTTCTGAGCATTCATCTGGCCAGTGAAATAAGATTTCAATAGGTCATTACACATACGTTACACGACAAGATACTCCTGGAGATTAGCCAAATACGCATAAGATTAGGCTACAACTTGAGTAATGTTTAATACCTGCACTTCACGCATCTTAAATGTCTTCATCCAATTTTGAGAATCTTTGGTCCTCGAATCTTCTTCTCCAAGCTGTTTGACAAGTATATCATACGTCTTTTTCTCATGCTGTCAGAAATAGAGAAGTGTTTGATCACAGGAATTCGCATGAATTATAGAGCATTAAATCATAGCTGTCCAGCAGAGACCATACCTGGTGAGAGAGCTTAAATGCACCCATACAGTTGAAGGCAATTGCAAGTGCATGGTAGCAAACAGCAGTTTGAATATGTTCTTCTCCTAAAAGCCTTTCATTCTTCTTCAAGGCTTCTTGCAAATAACGAAGAGCTGTGTTCATCTTTCCAATGTCTTGATACATCATTGCAACATTTATAAAAGTTGCAGCAACATCAGGATGATCAGGACCTGAAGACAAACTTAGCAGTAGTAGAGCCCGGGACATGTGTCGCAGCGCAAGTTCAGTTTGGTTCAGACCATGGTAAAACAGAGCCATGTTCCCGTAGCTGGAAGACACCATGAAAAGGAGAGGAAGGATTAAAGGCTCTTCTCATAAATCTCTAGCTCAATTGAGGAGTATACATTCTGCTACAGTTAATACAGCTGATTAAGCGAAATTTACAGAGACAAACTTATACCTGTGTGCAGTATCAGGGTGATCCAATCCAAGACATCGCTCATTGATTATGAGTTCCTTGTGTTGTTGCATGATTGCTCCAGACATGTCTCCGGCATGATACAACACCATGGCAAGGTAGCTAAACGTCATCCAAAATATAAATGCATGAGATATTATGCTATAGAGATCATGCATAAAGACGACTCAAAGCTCACTACTTCCACAAAAAAACAAGAATAAAAAAAAGTACAGCAGATGGAGACGACATCTGATTCAACACAGAGCCTCTTAGATACTAGATGGAAAACAAACTGAACCATCACCAGCATAGAAGTATAATTGTCCAGAAAACAGGGTTAAGGAAATAGTCGTTACCGGCAACAATTAGCCACCTCTCTGTGCATTGGACCAGTGACCTGCATTTTTTCAGGGCAAGGTGTCATTAAACCGTAAATTAGCAAACACAGATTCCAATAAAAATATCCTTATAAACACAAGAAATTCCGGCTCTACCTGCTGAAGTATTGTGAATGCTTCAGAAAACAAGGTGTATGCCTCACTCAGCATCCCCTGTGATGAAAGAAAATTTTAAAACGCATTTACTACTCAGCTTACATGGATATTGCAAACTTGAATGTTTAAAAGACCATATAGAGGATGCTTTTCATACTACTGTGAAGGTAAATTATGTGCATGCCTGCAGTACCTTCAACCCTAATGCAACTAAAATTTACTTTTGAAACTTAAGAGTGTACAAGATGTTCCTACAAAAATAAATTAATTTACCACTGATCTTCATAAGCAATGTTTAAACTGTATTCCCAATTAATCTAAACAAGGTGACGTAAAAATATAAAGCAGTGATGAGAGATCAAAGCAGAGTTGCGAGCACTCGAGTATAAATCCAGCATGCTGAATACAATAACACACCTCAGCTAACTGAACCTTCCCCGTTTCCACAAGATCCTTGGCTTCGGAACTAACAGGGATAGCATGCTTTACAACAGGTTGAAGGTTCAATATGTCTGATGTTTGAAACGGTGCAACTGCATCAAAATCATATCTTCGAGCTGCAACTGTTATGCCAACCTATTGAGATGAAAAGCTATCAATAAGTGGAACTATGTAACCAAGAAATACACTTTTATAAATATAAAAGGACAGGAAGTTACAAATAGTTTCCAGAACAAGATGAGAGTAAATTGAATTAGATGGGAGGGCCAGCAACTATATGCAAGTTTACATGCAAATCAAGCAATTTCATGAGGGGAAAAAACCAGATACTTAACAGGAACAATTTGAAATGACTTCTCTTTGCATTAAACCAGCATGGATCACTTCTAAATCAAAGCAAGTCATCAGAGATAACTTACAACCACCACAAAAACAACAAGCCTTCATCCCAATATGTGGGGTCGAACAAATATGGAGACAACATAATACCATTACATGACAGTTATCAGGCATGCATGCTTCTCCTCTTCCCTTGTTTTATTTCCTTTCTTAAAAGACAGTTACCAGCTTTTGTCTAATGCACACAATTTTGGGGTAAAATATAGATTCATAAGCTTTATGTATGACTCCTAGGATAAATAAAGCGAGTTCATTATGAACGAAGAAGAAACTATGGCACAATATAATCTCATATTAATTCGCATGTAACCACAACTAATGGTAAGAAGGTCCCAACCAAAAAGGCTTACCTTCTGGGCAAGATTTCGAATAACTGGGATTCTCTTTACACGCAATCTTACATCCTCTGGTAGTTCAAACTGCAAGAGATAAATAGAAAATGTTAATTACAACTTATTAACAATGTAAACCATCAAAAGTACAAAAGTACCAAGACAAAGAGGTATTCAAGCTCAAGGTACCTGATATTTGAGTTTTGAAAACTCCTGTATGTCAGACCACAAACTGTCTGAACTTATACTTAAAAACAAGGACTGCTTCTTCCTACCAGAACCTTTATTTTTTGACTTCGACTGACCCTTCAAAGATTTCCAGGAAGCTGGATACCCCACATGGTCCTGTAAAATATGTACATTGTTAAATCTCATATACAATAATGATATAGAGCAAAAAAAGATTCTAATCCACCTAAATTTCTCAAGAACCAAAATTTCAATAACTATTTCCATCAGTGTTATTGCCACAATAGTTTCAAAACCAAATAAGAAAGACACATAAAAAAGGAAGCTTGATAAGTGGAAGAAAGCATTACCAATCTTACAACTATAACCATGCATTCATGACCACTTACCTTCTTTTGACTTTTTGAGCTTGCACTGTTTGTCACACCTCGGTGAATATTTCCAAACAAACAGTTAAAGACGTGTGCAATAGCGTTCCCAAGATCATGATCCTCGGTGTCTCTCAAGATATCCTGCAAAAGAAGCCCCATGAGAACGTAGATAACAATTTATCAAACCAACACCAAAATATTGTCAATATAAAAGCTAAAAGGAGCAAAGGTAGAATTTTACCTTCAAGATGTGCTTTGCAGACCTCACAACAATCTCACTCAAGCAGAGATCCCATAAGTGAGCCATGTGCCTGGTACCCTCAGCCACCTGGCCACAAACTTATTAGGTTAATATGCAAGACTTCAACTCAAAGCACATACAACACTCTCAGAAATATTTGAGGCTCCTATGCTACTTGTGGCAGCTTTCAAGTCTCAAAAGCATAGATCATAAATAGTTTTAGGCATACTTACTTTCCCAAGATAGCGAACATTGATCCCGTTAGCATGAAGCGCTTCAGTTAGTGTATGTCCATCCATGGGTGAAACCTCAAGTGTGCAAAGATCTTGAACAAACTTAGGAAGTACAACGTCTTTAAGATACAGACTTGCTTTCCTGACATTTTCTTCATCTGCCACAATCTCCTGGTGAACAAGGGAAAACAGAGAGTTGACATGATTATCATACTAAATTAGCAGCATCGTAAAAGCAACATGAACAGATAGCCTAAAGTACCTCAGGAGAACCAGCTAACTGAAACTCAGTGAAGACATTAGGATTAAAAAGTATTTCCTCGCTTGCTTCTCTGTGCTCAGACTCACAATTGCACCCTTCGTGAGCATGTGTTTCAACTTTTTCTGTATCCTGCTAAAGGGGAAGCTTGATCAATTGCTTATAGAAGGTTCACCATTTCACAGTAAAACAAAGCCATAGGTTACAAATCCAACAATACAAGCTTAATGACGTATGAGTAGAACACAAAGAAAAATATATATGAAATCTTGAGGAAGATTCCAGTCTTGAGACAACCAGAGGGGGGAAGCAATGCTCAATGTTTTCCAATAAATATGAACATTCTGGGATTCTTGATCATAATAAGATAAGCATTCCCGATATCGCTGCTGACGAATCCTTTATCATTCGAGGAAAAGAAATCATTGATGGACGGCAAAGAAAATAGCAAAGGAAAACTGAAAAGTTGTGAGAAAGAGAACCTATATAGTGGCATATCTCCTCATTATAAAATAATATGCAATTGAGCACTCCATCCAATGAACTTTAATAACACAGTACAAAGGCCATAATGATGGAAGGATTAGGACACATCATATTCATCATCATCAAATAGTCTGTTTTTCCAATTTACTGCCATCTCACATGAAAACTAGATCCATATAGAGACATGGTTGCGAAGGATTAATTACTAGATTCCTCTCAGAAAGAACCAAGCAGACAAGTTATTACATCATCGTTCACGCTTCTTAACAGATTCAGCAACATAAGCGAGAAAAGGTCCAAAGCAAACACCATTAGGAAATCCAAAATGGGCGCACTTGAAAGCCAAGTCGACAGATTAAAACCAACGACATGACTTCCATATTATGCTTAAATCTGTCATTTTTCGTTTTTGTTACCAAAATACCAGGCGGAGTACCGATTGGTAATCTAAACAAACAATCCCGAAAAAAAAACTCGCGCTAACCTGCATCTCTGGAACAGATTTTTCAAGGCCATTCAATTCCACTACACCATCATTGGAATTTAAAGAACCAGAGCCTTCACCCTCAGGATTTCCCAGAGACTTAGACTTATCTGCTGTTTCAGCCTGCAAGTACTAAAAGAAATAAAGCAAAATAAAAAAGTGAAGAAAAACCACAAGCCAACCCACTACTTTTCTTGGCAGACTTACATGGCAAAAGGCTGTAATTAACTCAGGTCTTAGAATACAAAATCTGGAGCCGGGTCCATTGTAATTTGCATCACGAGGAGTCACTCTCATCAAATCCAAGAGATAATGCCTGAAAATAGTGATTTCCATAAGAATGAGAAATCACACAAGAAAGAAGCTAGAACTAACAATCGACAACCAGCGATTTACATTGAGAGAAATTATTACTATACACAGTCAAACACGGAGGCACAAGTGAAATGATTGAGCAGGATCATTAGAACTTATAGACTAAGCACCAGTAACTACCTGTCATCACTACCAACAATGCCCTTGCATTCAACTGGTGCGGCCAATTTAAAAACATTTCCAGACCCATCAAGGACGCAATGTTCCTTCAAATGAAGACGCTTGGCAGCTTCTGAGACCTGATAGAAATGAAGTTTTAGTGTCAGAAAGCTTGCAAATTACTGAAACCAATGTAAACTAACAGAACAAACACCAAAAGTCAAAAGTATTTGCAGATAGCGGAACAAAAGGACAAGAAACCCCACTACAGTTTTGGGTCTATGCTTCATTTACAACACCACAATATCTTCAAGAAATTGAAGGAACTAATAAAGATCCACTGAATTTTCCCTGTCCCAAAAATATTGTCCAAGTGCTTCCAAAGACGGGAGGAAAACAAGAGTAGCAAAACACAGAACATTGCCCACTATAAAATCATGACAATCGTCTACAAAAGGCTAGCTGTAAGAATGTGTCCAGCAATCAAGGTTTTAAAAGTTTCTTAGGTAGCAACATAATATGCTGCAAAAAAATACGACAATTAGCCCCTGCTCAGGGAAAGAAAAAATTCATTCCTTATCAGAGAGTCGATTGAAACATCCAAAACTGACGTAAATAAGAGTTTTATGTTTTTCCTAGAATTCGACATTTAAGTGCTGCAACTGATTTCTTCGAAGAACTTTGCACAAAAACTTCAACAAATCGGAGGTTTAATCACTTACAACCTAGGAAACAGATAATGAGAGGAGAAAAGCAATAGCACAAAAAGAAAATCCAAAGCAGAAATAAAACTGAGAAAAGCAGAAAGCTACATAATAGTAAATTGAGAAACTTCCAAACCTTAGAGTGAAAACCTTCGCTCCAGCAAATTTTCCTCCCATTGTCAACAGAACCATATAAAAGAGACTCTGACTTATCACCCTGAAGGATGCCAGGTAAAACACTCTGCAAGCATGGAATGGAAAATAATCATGAGTCAATCCAAGAAATTAGAAAATAAGCTATCAGGAGCGCAAAAATTGTCAAAACAAACACATAGATGCACATGCATAAAACATAATGAGAGTGACAAATTATCAAACTTTCCAAACTATGGAAAGGAGTGGAAAATAAAAGGAGCCCCCCAAAAACAAAAAAAAACAGAAAGAAAAAACTACCCAAAGAGAAGGAGTTGAAGTAGAAGAGGTACAGAGGCAAAACCTAAAAGAGAATCGCTAACAGGAACATCAGCTAAAAAGAAGTGATCAGTCACCTGAGCTACTACTCGATGACCTCTATAATCAATTATGGCCATTGCCAGATTGTACAACCCAGGAACATCAGCTTCCTGATACGCCTTGGTGCCTTTCAAATCATTATTTGCACTGGCATATGTGGCTTGTTCACTTTCAGCCAACTGAGTCTCACAAGGGGCATCGGGAATCACATCCACGGAGCCATTAGTTGTTCCATTATCATGGCCATCGGCTTTTTCTGTAATTTTGGTTCCATGTGACACATTATTGGCTGTCTTCTCAGATGAGATAGTGCTCGAAGACTCAATTTTAGAAGCATCTGAAGCCAGCTTCCTAGGCAGTTGCTCGAGATCAGCATCAACAGCAAAACTAAAGAATATGTTATTGTGAACATACCTGGGATGACAACAGAACACGTCAAACAGGGACAAAATAGCTTAAAAGACTGTACTTGAACAAAGGGAGAAGAAATATTTGAGCACAACAAATAATAATAATCATAATAACAAAACAAGGAGCAAATCTGGTTATCCAATTAGCCTTGGCTTGATACCCTTGGCCAGAGACTGGCAAAGAACTATTGTGCTTCATCATCAGGAAAACCAAGTTATTAGTCCACTAGTAGAAGTTTTAGTTAATTTTCACTCCTTTCTTACTCAACATGGACACGATTATCTGCAGTCACTCTCTTTTCTATCTATATTTCAATCAATTTGTTTAGTTCCTAGAGCTTATTGCAGATTGAGCACAAAAAGGTTCCAAGGAAAAAATAACAGCATTTAAGAGTAGATATATCTCTAGAATATGCAACACGGAAGCAACTGTTTCCAGATCTAAAATCTGATAGTGCAATCGACAATTGAAGTGTGAAGTTAGGCACCACAGGAAATGCCTAAATTGCCTCCGTGGGTAAGCCAGTCACAAGTATTATCGACATTCTCGAAAAAAATCACTCATGCAGAATGGTGTATCAAATCATCAAAAGGTTTCAAATAGAAGTCACTACTAACATATGAAAGCACTCTGGGTCAGTTGGATTAATGGGTGGGATACATCTGCTGATGACTCCAATAGCACCATTGATTGCAGCATCAACAAAGTCAGAGGTAACTTTGTAAAGAGCCCTATCACGCAATATCCTGTAAGGAAGAGCATCTGATAATAAATACTAAATTACAGAAAATATATAAATAAATAAATAAAATCTAATAAGTGCACATTTCTTGCAGTTGGAAGCGGAGTATAGACAAACACACCTTTCCTGAGCAGTTGAATGTGGAAATTCACGGCAAGACTGTAGTTCTTCATTCCAATCTCTTTGCATCCCTATTAACTCGCTCCCAAAGGAAAGTGTCAATGCATTCTCAGCTCTTGCAGCATCACGTTTGTGATCTAAAATGCAAAAGTTCATTGTCATGATTAGATCATATTTACTAAGAACTTGAAAAGTAAATAACAATCAAATCCTGTAACACAAAACACAGAAGATACAATAATCAACCCACTGACACCATATCCCAAAGGATAGTCATATCTTTATAACGATTCAAAGATGAGTTTAGTTTTCTGGATTCTGAAATGTTTGCTTTTAAAGGACATGGACACTCATATAAAGATCAATAATGACAGTGCATCACTTATCAATTATCATGCCAATAAAGAAGAATACATAATAGTTGCACATAAACTTGGGAAAAAAAGTAATGCCTCTCTTTCTCCAGTCCAGAAACAAATGTGAAGTTGCCATTCCATCACACCTAGTGTTAGATATCTACATTTTCATAGAGCTACAATACCATCAAGCTTTAAGGAAAACTGTAAACAAGATGGGCGATCCATAAAACTGCTTAGGGAGGACAAATCAGATCCAAATTGGAGCACATCAGTATGAAATTCAGGTAACTGAAAAAACATTGTTGGAACTTGGAAACATGAACTGAGGGAAAGAGAAACCTTCAGGAACTATCAGTAATTAAGTTCATATTAAACTCGCCTGGGATAGGGTACAATCCAAGCCATGAATTGGGTGGCAGAAGGGATTGAACATTTTCAAAAGGATGAGACGAGGCCTTCCGCTCCAGTATCTCCCGGAAAGCTTTATACAACAAGACAGAACATCGGAAATTTATTAACCGAACAAACTTAAGAAACTAAAGCCCCAAAGAGAGACTATTTAAATAAATAAATCTAGGTCATATCTCTTACCTTTCTTGAACTTGGAGCTAATCTTTTGCAAAAGGCCAATAAGCGTTGTGGCCTCAAAAGCAGATTTACTTGGCCTGGGATCAAGAATGGTACCAGTACTTGAATTGACATAAAAGTTTTTTGTTGTTCCCGTAATACAATATTTATTGCCTTCCAGCGAGACCACATCCAAATAAATAAGATCACCAGAAAGCCTGGACAAATCAAAGATAATATTCAGAACACAGTTCGAGCCTTTTACCTGACCCAAACAATCCCCCAAAAAAAAAAGAGCCAAGGTACTGTAATGATCATGTCACAGAATACAACCTTCGATAGCTAGGTGGAGGATTGAAGGATGAAAACACAATACTCTCCACACATTGAATCTCTTTGGAAGGCGGTAAAAACAGATTAGAAAGTGCCCCCGGAACATTCTCCATAAAACCCAAACTTTCAAGGTCCGCAACTTCAGATTTCACCGGATCTGGACAACGTAACATTCAGATGTCACACTATAATCCAACCAAATTGTAAAATCCATGAAGACAGAATAAAAATAACATCAGAATAAACGTGAAAGGCTCGAGCATCAGATACCACCTCCTGGAGTTCCAGATGTACTCTGCCCCAAATCTTGCTGCAACGCAAGTGATGTTGATAACGAGGAATGCACTGTGGAAAGTGACAACAACTCCCTCGTGCGGTGAACATGAGCCCTAATGGATCGATCATCATACAATGCTGCAACAAGTAACAAAAGCTTCACTGCCGTATAAATTTAAATTAAATTTACAGAAGCATCTCCAAAAGTGACACTTGTGCTAACAAGGTAACCCAAGAACATCAGGGAATGGATTTCTCTACTTTGATAATTGACAAACTAGCCTATTAGAGAACACCTTATACCTGCAACCATCTCCAAATAGCAGTCACCAAGAGTAATGTCAGCAATCTCAGAAATTTCGTTGTAATCTTCTAGGTGATGAGTTGCACCATCCTTCGAGTGCAGTAACAAATCATAGCAAGTAAAGAAACATGTCTCCGGAGCATCAAGAAGAAACTGTCTCACATCCATAACAGAATCTCCAGGGCTCAACTGTAATCAAAATCAGCTATTTCAAGACCAGTGAATAAGCTTGATAAAATTCCACATGGAAATTATCGGATTTATAACCAACTAACCGCTATTAACATCAAAGGAAAAGGAACTAAGGCATTTTCTTACTTGTAGCTCAAGCTTTTCTCCCCCTTGAGTTTTGACAGTTACAGGATAGAGATGAATGTCACCTGCAGCACAAGGAAAATTAGAAAGGATTGGGATTTAATCTTCACCGGTGAAATTGGGAGCAAAAAGAAATCCAATCTTAATCAGTATCAAGCAGTAAAATTTCGATAACCATGCCAATTAAATATAACAGTCATGGCAATAATCATAGAACAGGAAGCCAATACAACACATCACCTTGCTTTCCCTTAGGATCTACGGTTGCATTAGCTGCTTCTTGCTTTGCTTGGTCATCTATTATCGAGTTCACATCAGCCTGTCCTTTGTTTACTGGGGACGTGTTCTCTAACTCGTTAATTTCCTCGGTGGTACTAACGGGTTCACTGGCAACTGCATTTCCATTTGCATCTGATGAGCTGGAGTGATTACCCAATGGAACACCAGAAGATCCTGTCTGTTCTGATGGATTGGCAGGAGATACTGTCTGTTCTGATGGATTAGCAGGAGTTTGGGACCCTTTCCGGTTCCTCCCTTTATTCGACTTTCCCGCCATTACAGCCCCTAGTCGTCCCAAAACAAACCACAATACGTCAACAAAAATTACAATGCTACTGTTGTGAACTCTCTGAACTTTACAATCAATACGGAAAAAAAGAGGTGGACTTTGCTCCCAAACTCCCACGGTAGCATAAAAGGCCACAGAAGTCTACAGCAAATGGGGAAAGAACAGATTTTTCAATTCTACAACAAACGGCAAACTAAACCAAGATTTATCCAGAACCTGCATTATAGAAAGAAACAGTACCACTCTTTAAGCGGAACCAAAATAAATAAAAAAATTTTAAAAAAGAAAAAATGAAACCAAGGGCATGCATCAAATGGAAACAATAAACTTGTCAACCTAACAACTATCAGAGAACAAGCCCACCAACCAAAAACGCCAATTTCAGCGAGGGAAAACATTACACACATATACTGATAGTAGAAATTTTATCAACTGGTAGATTTCTAGAAACAAAAACAGTAGAGAAATAGCAAATGAGTAATTTCAGAGGCAAATGTGAGGTTTTTCACCAAAACCTTGTCAACAAAATCAATGGAGGAATCCAAAAACCAGAATAAAACAGGCATACGAAACTTAACCCGTCCCAAAAACAAGAACCCACATAAGCAAGTACGAGAATTCAACCAACTAAACACCAGATTATGAAGTATTATAATTACCTGTGAGAAGCAATGGATGATACACCCAACTCTTGTAGCAGATTGAAGAAGCCCAAACTAATCAAATATATATGCTCATATGCTCGAATGAAAAGATATAGACTTTTGGAAGAAAGTTGAAGAAAAAAGGAGTTGGGGGTTTCAATGGCGGAAGTGAAGGAGGCTGAGGTTTTACGAAGGGGAGAAGGGAGGCGTCGTACAAAAGAGAAGTGGCTGAGAGACGGCGATTTTTAGTACACTTTATAAAAGAGACCCAATAATTTTAATAATATTTGTTCTTGGGTATGCAAATGAGGTAAAAATTCACCAAATTTTGTGTTGTTTAAAAATAATTTTTTATAAACACTTCTCGTATTGAATAGGAAAACTGGGTTAAGTAAATTTAGAAATTCAGAATGTAAAAAATAAATAAATAAATAAAAGAATCATAAGAAGGATACAATTTATATCGCACTATTAGACTTGGCATAAATTCAAATAGTCATATCATTTATGTAATTTCGAATCATTATACAAAATTTACTTAACTATTAGCATGAAATTAGTGAGTTATTATACATTCCAAAGGACTATTATGCCATGGTGCATGTCTATACGTTTGTGTTTTGTGAGACTATTTGTAGTCATTACTTTCATTTTTTTTATTATCTTTTTTGTCTAGTAGTATATTAAAGTTTTTTTTTCTTAGATATATTTGGAGAAACTTTGTTTTTCACTTTTAAGTTTTTTAAGTTTTGACAAAAACAAAACTAAAATGCAAACTTAATTTTGGAAAAGTTTAAGATTAGGGATGAAAGTATGATTGATGATTACATGTATGACGCAGTACATGGTGTGTATTAGTAGGATTCTAAATACCTGCATCTAGTGTGGAATAAAGAGATTCTTGTTTGGTGAAGCCGAAATTAGTTGACTGATTTTTGCATTCCATATTGTATTTTTTATATGATCCATCAGGTTAATTCCTCTCGAGGAAGTGTATAAGATTTTGTGACTCTAATAATCAACCATGTATAATTAGGGCAAAGAAGTAGGCAAATTGCATTTTTGGCCAACAATTGATCCTTTAGTTGACAAAGTAGTCCCTATTGATTCGGAAACTAACAAATTAAGCACCCGATTTCTTAAATTCGGAAGTTTTATCCCTCTGACGGATGATTGAAGTCAACTAACGGTTTCAACTCAAGGACTCAACTCTCACTTCGCTAGTAGTAATTTTGATAACATAAAATGATTTTAAAATTACAAGATTTATTGGAAAAAAAGAAATAGAAGAAGAAAGTTGTTCTCAAGGGGTGAGATGGTTGGGTGGGATAGTTAGGAAATTAGGACAGGGATGATAACTACTAAGAGGTCGAGGATTTGATTCTTGTTGGACCATTTAATTTATAAAAATATTTTAAAAAAAATGCTCTCATTCTTTTGATAACATATACAAACTTTTATTGTGTTTTCCCTTCAATTTTTCACAATGATCTTAAAATTACACTTCATTTTCTGATTCAAAGTTTCTTAAAATACAAATTAACCCCATGTTGGGGCACAATAATATAGCGTAAGACAGGAGAATGAATATAAGTAGGAGAAAGAGTAAAACTGAAACGAGACACTATAAGAGCGATCAGAATCTTGAGTTCCACCATTGCCAAATGCTGACCAAGACAAATCCTTGGTCCCATTCCAAATGGCATATATGCCTGTGGATACTTGCAAGCCTTGGCAACACCATCTACAAACCTTTGTGGATTGAATTGATAAGAATCGTTTCCCCAAATCTCAGGATTAGTGTGTAAAGTCAACACAAATGCCCACACATTGACTCCTTTTGGTATAACAATGTCGCCAAATTTCATGTCTTCAAAAACTTCTCTTGACATAATAGTCGCGGGCGGGTATAATCTCAATGACTCGTGAATCACCATGGTCAGCTGCAAATCATAGAAAAAGGCAAAATTATGATTATAATTATATTCATTTTATTTTTTTGTATAGTTAGATATTACATTATATCAAAAAATTAAAATGGTATATATAATAGGTAGTGTTACCGATTTAATGTTACGTATTGATTCAGTGTCGGGAACTCGGCCACGGCAAGCATCGACAACCTCGGACCGGACTCGTTCCTGCCACTCCGGGTTGGCGGCCAAAAGCATTAGACACCAAGCTGCGGAAATAGCAGTACTTTCGTACCCGGCAAAGTAAATGGTTTTGCAGTTATCGACGATGAATCGATCAAGTGCATCATCGCTAATTAATTCTTCCTTTCTGGCAGTTTCCATAACCATTTGGAGTAGATCTTTCTCGTACCCAGCTTCTGTTCTTTCCTTCACCACATTCAGAATTAATTCTTTGATCTCCTTGGTTAGTGCCCATGCTTTTCTGTTGTTTCTTGTCGGAAGATGCCTGAAGAACCATGTTCATATACATGTTAGTTATAATTCTCGATCCAAAATAATTGTTTAGTTAGTTTGAATTTTTTTTATTTTTTGGTAATACAGTTTTAATATTTAGAAATGAAATTTTTTTTAACATTTAACAAAAAAAAAACTGATATAAATAATTGTACAGATTGAATTTTCATTTTAAGTTCAAAATGTACTATTAGTAAAAAAAAAAGATAATAATTTTGAAAAAGAGAGAGTAGATAATAAAGGAGATGAATATGTGAGACATTTTCGAGACTACTTTAGAATTTACTAGCAAACTAAGAGGATTATAATCCAACACACCTCATGCCGGGAATGCCCATAGCCAAATTCTTATTAGAAGTGGCTTCCTCAAGTGAGTTGAGTTTAGAGAAGATATCTTCTCCTTTGTTATAACTGCTTCCAAAACATGCCTTTGAAATTACATCCCCTGAGAAACGCCTCATGTAAGGGTCAACTTTTATGTCTGCTATCCCACCTTTTCCCTCAATCATTTTGTTCCACGAGTTCACAATTGTCATTGCGGACTCCTGAATTAGATTTGTCATCCCCTGGAAAAACCAAAAGAAAAATCAAGTCCATGTATATCATGTTGCGCTGCTGAATTGTTGGCTTGATTATCGTATTTGTTGAATTATTTTAGCTCAATAAATCAGATAATCATTTTGAGACATACGGTAATATTATTTCGACTCACTATTCAAGCTTATGAAAATATAATAATTATTTTGAGACCCAATCTTACCTTAACTTTGTCCATGTACAATTCAGGAGCGAGGACTTTTCTCTGACGAGCCCATTGAGTCCCATTGGATGTAAAAATGCTATCACCAAGAAGCGCACTATGCTCTCTGGCTTGATAAGAAGGTTTCCCAAAATTCAGAGACGTACAAGTTGTAATCTCTTTCACAATCTCTTGTCTAGTAACAACTAATATTTGTGTATTCCCCATTGAAAACATGAACATATCACCTGTGTTGTCCCAAACCGCCAACCAACCGTTAGCACAAATTAACCAAAACGATTATTAAAAATGACTTGAAATATTTAAACTCATCAAAACGTACCGTATTTCTTCAACCAGTCTTGGAAGAAGGGGAAGATGGTGGTCGCGCAGTCGTGTTTGGTCGGAACACCACAGAACGGAGGAGCACTCGCGGTGGCGGACCGGGCTTTCTTGATCTCCAAAATGTTTCCGAGCACAAGGGTTGGTGGAGGTCCTCTTATGCCTTGCTTGCTCAGAAATGATCTAAGTTTCCCTGGCTTAACGACTACAGCATTGTACAGATGCCAAAAGAGTGCAATTAATCCCACCATTCCTAAAGAAATCAAAGCTTTCTGCAAGTGTTGAACGGCCTCCATGATGGAGTAAAAGGTTTCCGTAATAGTGAAAGGGAGAGAGAGAGAGAGATTTTTAGCTCTACGACTCTTAGCCACCGGGTTATATAGTGAATGGAAAAATAATAAAATTTAAAAGCAAGACCAATAAATAATTAAAGTAGTAAGTCATTACTATTGTTAGATTATTCTCGTGTTTTTACATTACTGAATTGTAATAAATTACTTGTGAAGTTTGTACAATTTTTTAGTGAGTCATATAAGTGAATCCTAATAAATATTTTAAGTATATTTTTTAAAAAATATTATAATTAAATTATTTTGTTACCTGTTACATTAACGGACAAATTTCACCAGTTCCCATGGAAAAATTAATGGTACGACCTATAAAACGTTACAATAATCATACTATAGACAATTTTTGAATTGGAATCATTAAAATATATAAGTAAAAATCTAAACTTAATAATTATTTTCATGAAAAGAATATATAACTGTTGAATTAAAAGTAAAATTCTAAACTGAAAAATAATTTTAGAAACTCCATTTAATTTTTCCTTTGAGACCCAAATGTCCTTATCAGGCAAGCTAAAGTTTCATTCACTTTGTACACAATTGAAAAGTCATATAAATTGTGGCCAACTTAAGTAGACCTCGTCTGTGACACACCCCAACACCTGGCTCTTGTAAATTTCTAAGGATAAGCTAAGTTGCGGTAGCAATGACAACTAAAAGTCACATTAAGTGATCTGGTGCCAAACTTCATATGTAAAGTGGAATTTTGCAAGCAAACAAATTAAAATGGCGGCCAAGTCAATCGACTAAAAAATCAAATACTCCCTCTCTGGAAATTATAATTTATTATGAATTTTCAATTTTAATATAAATTGAACTAAAAACAAAAATTTAAATTGTACAATAATTTTGGGACGTATAGAGTAATTAAGAATAGGATTTGAAACCCCAAACTAGCCAAGTCAGTTGAGCATTCCTCCAACGAGTTGGGTCCATATATGTGGAAATATTAGTATCGTGTTTGACTAGATGCTTTTTTCCCGAATAAAATAATAGTACACAAATTATATTTCCGGGTGTAAAAATAATTACCTATTTTGTTTACATTATTTACTGTAATAAGCTATATATTCATTCAAAGACAAATAGTATGTAAAAATTTTTATTGCAAATGTGAACAAAGAAAAGGTAAAATCACAGGGCCAAAAGATAGATACAAAAAACTTACACACATCAAATATCCAAAATTAACATTAGTTCCTTCAAAAACAAGTTTTCTGACAGTTTTTATTTCATGGTGTTTATAATTATATATGTTTCAAGTCAGCTTTCCAACTATAGGTATAAAAATACTCCCTCTGTCTCAAAATTATTGTCCAGTTTGAAATTTCACTTTTAGTACAATTTGAACTAAAAAATAAAAACTCAAATTGGAGAATAATTATAGGACGGAAGGAGTATTAAGTACTATATATGTAGATGATTTATATCAAGATATGATGATTGGCCAAGATATTTATTCCAATTTCAAATTGGGTATGTTTGCTTCGTTTTTTTAGTGTGTGTTTAGGTGTTTTTTGTATTGAAAATGTAAAAAAGTGTGTTGAAAATGTAAAAAAGTATGTTGTGATGGGACAGTTATTAATAAAATAAACTGAAAAAATCATAAAAAAAAAAAATCAAACAAACAGAGACAAAGGACTTTGTCTAAATGGGAGAGTTGTAAAGTTTTGATTCGATGCCCCACGATGGAAGTAAAGCTATGAACACGCCAATGCTTACCAGATCAAAAAAATGTCTAAATTTAACAGTTATCAATATTGACTGATAATATGTCACTTCAGCAACAAAACTCTTGTTAACTTCGCAATCAATGAATTTATTTTCTCTTTAGAATTTGGAGTTAGATCTCAGTCGTAGAATTCTTCTAGTCCGACTAGTTACTTTTACAATCAATGAATTTATTACCCGTAGAATTTGGAGTTCGCTAACAGTACATAGAAACAAAAAGATTAGAAACGACAATTAAACATCGATTGGGAACAAGGTACTAGTATTTTAACAATTATTTTTATTAAGAAACAATAACTAACTGATTAATACACAAAGTCACAAACATCGATAGGAAAAAGATTACAACTACAGTAGTTTGCAAATTCAACTAGTGCAAAGGACTGGCGAATGATGACCAGTATTTATAAGGTATGCCCTGTCTCCATCGCTATATATAAGGTTGGAATAATTTGGAAAATTTAATTAGTAGCATTTGGAACCATGTTGCACCTTTGTTTCGTTCCATCAGCAGTCTACAATCACGGATTTGAAAGTGAAGAAATTGTTGCGTCCAATTTGGACCCTGGACTCTGGAGGTATGGAACTAGGAATTTTCACTACAACAATTTTGTGTATATTGTTAATAATCCAGTTCTGAAATAATTGTTCAATTTAAACATTTATTTTTAATTTAACTTATTTAGAAATAAAGTTATAAACAGTATAATTATTTTAAAACAAAGGAAATATAATTTTTGTTTGAAAAAGATTTCATGTAAATATTTTTTTTCTTTCAATCTTGCATATGAAGTACAAACTATATTTAGTTTTCGGATCAGATGCAGTACTAATAAACATAGCAGTACCCATATTTGTGATCGTCATTGTAATTCTAATACAAAATTTTCATTTATGTTGTTCATCCGAAATATTATATTCCCTCCCTCCCAAAAAAATAGTCTATATTTAATTTTTGTATTTTTATTATTTTTAGTAAAAAATAAAAAATTTAATGTAGACTTTTTTTTGGACAAAGGTTGTATCATTTTATTTTATTCTTTTTTTGCTATCTAAACAATTTTTTTAAACACATCCACCATCCAAAAAAAATACATATTGAATTTTGAGATTTGTACAAAAATAAGTACAAATCTTAAAATACAATATAGATTTTTTTTTTTTTTTGCAACAAAAAGAGTATATTTTTAGATAGAACGTAGTGGAAAAAAGTACAACATTTTGGAATTTATTAGCGATTATGATGATGAATATATATCAATATCAATGGTAAAAAAGAATATAAAAATTATAAAACTTGTACTGTTAATGAAATGTTATAATAATACGAAATGAAGTGACATATAGAAAATGTGATAGGAGATCATCTGAACAGTTTTTGATCAATACCTTTACTTTATTTGTAACGTAACTTTATTTTAGTACTCCTTCCATCCCATAATTATTGTCCAATTTTACTAAAATGAAAGATTTTATTTTTGGTCAAACTTAACTATATTTTACCTTAAACAACCGGATATACCCCTACATAAGTAATTGTTTAACCACTAAGATTTTATGGATAATGTTTTTATTAAGGACAAATGTGTAATTTGATCCATAAAAAGTCAAATTGGACAATAATTTTGGGACAAAATTTTTTGGGCAAAGTGGACAATAATTATGGGACGGAAGGAGTATATAGTAGGATTAGTAGTTTCGGACATAAAGTATAATAAAACTTCCAAAAAAGTTCGAGTAAAATTCATTATTTTCTTCTCATTTTTCTTTTCACAAGCTCTGCTAGGGGGAATCAATCTGCATTCAAGCTAAAGATATTTCATGGCCGAAAGGTTTATCTCAATATTTTGTTTCCACGAACAAGCGCTCTGAAACTGAAATCTATCTATATAATTTAATAATAGAAAATTCAGAGAGAGGAAACTGGGATAGTTTTTCATTTGTCACGTAGAACTGGTAATTTTCTCCATTTTTTAATTTATTAAAAAAGATTTTTTTAAAAAAGTTATATGTTTAGTTAAAAAAATCAAACGACGTAACATAAATCCCCAAACAGATATGGTTCAGTCAAAAACCAACGGCTCATAATAATCTTCAGCCGATCTTTATCTTCTGATTTGGTTGGAAGATTTTTTAATTTTAAACAATAAAATCTTGAAAATTCTAGCCCCAATTTCTTTCCATCTTCATCCGGTGAAGTTCAAATTTCAGATTGAATTCTTTATACTTGTGACTATATTTATCCTGGTTTCAGTTCTGTTAATATTTGAGGATAATCCTCTTTACTAAGTTTCTTCGGATCTCCGTATTTGGTATCCACCTATGGTTCTCTTTATGAAATGTCCATTGAGGATGTATTACCTCAGCTCCAGTCTTCATATTCTATCTGCGTAACTGATTCTATCTATATAATTCAGAAATATTTATCATCCACAAATCATGATCAATCAAACTTTTATAGCGACTCAACAACTATGCACTTGTCGTTCTTCAATTTTTCTTTTAGAATTTTGTAGCGTGAAAAAAGAGGGAAAATGGTTTGGTCTAGATTGGATGGAATTGAGTGAATCTGGGTGAAGAATGGAGGAAGGTTTAAAGATAAAAATAGTATGATGATTTCAGACTACATGAAAATATATCACGCGCAGGTTATCTTTTGATTCAAGGAAATAAATTGCTATAGATTTGCGGCGATGCTGAAATCCCAATATATGGATTTAGAGTTTGATCCGTTTGATGCCATATAGAACAGTACTCCGACTCAACTTTTATATTATCGGTAAGTTTCTAGATTTTCTTTATGTGACTTTGTGATTAAGGATATTTATAATCGAATTGATCATTGTTTGTTTTTCAGTATTTTTTTTGTTAGTTTTTTATTTTGTGGTATACAGGTTAACAATTCCAGACTTCTGAAGAAGTCTATCACGAGTAAAAGTTTTACTACAATTTCACTTGATGTACTCTACATGAATACGAAGAAACCAATCAAATTATATAGTGAAAAGTGTTGGATTCGTGCAATGAGTGAATATATGTAATTTCTAAACCAAAAAGCCTGAAATCTTTTTATGATATATGTAATATGAGGTAAGTGCTTGGAATTTCTTGCGTAATAACAGAACGAGAGCTTTCAGTTCTCGAAGAAGGGTTAAGCTTTTTTTTTTTTTCATTTTGGAGAATTTAACAATGAACGAACAAGGCGAATAACATTCTTTGATGATTGATTTATTTATTTATAACAATGCAAGTTTTGAGGTAGATAGCAATGTTTATGGTTATCTTCCACAAATTATTACGTGGTTTCCTTTTCACATGAATTGAAAATGATATATTTATTCGTAAGCAATTTTAATTTGTGCATCCGGCATTAGAGGTAAGTGTACCTGTCTCTCCCAAATACTATTTATGTAGAGCAGATTTTTATTTTTTTCGGTTTTACTTTTTTGTTTTGAAATTTAACAAGGTGCTTGCCCCGGGCGAATACCCGGAGTGTCGCCTGTATTTTTAAATTGATTTAAATAAAAAATACGAATCATTCTTAAAATAATAAAAAAAATTAAAAGAATAAAAAATCAATTTAAAGGACAGAAAGTGAGTTATTACACATAAATCTATTCCCAGATTTAAAATATTTAATTTATAACAGTAAACTTATGCCCGGATTTACAAAAATCATAGACCAATATCTATAACAGAAGAATAAAAAAAAACATCCTTAAAAAATCAAATTTCTTTAATGACAGCTTATTTTTTTTCTGTTGTAGAAAGAGATGGATTGATAATTGATGTCAGATTTTAAGTAGTTGATTTAAAGGTCCGGGTGTGAGAGAGAAGCGGAATGGAAGAGATTCTTTGAAATTGGGTATTATGAAGATATTACTAGTGTTTCACTTGATTTAAGGGGATTTCCTTATATTTGATTTTATCAAATAAATATTGTTGTTTTAAGGGATTATCTATAGTACTTAATTAAAGCAGCAAACAAAAAGAACATGTGTCAGCACCACAATGAAAATTTTCCCGCCAAAAGTCATTTTCAGTATAAAATCATTTTTGACACGTCGCACTCTAACTAATCAGAAAAAAAAAGATAGAATAGATAAATGCATAAATCCCTTAATTATAGCTGCATAAAAATATCTTAATTAAGTATTACAGATTAGTTGAAATGCAAAAAGAGGCTGGGAAACATATTTGATTGTCTTCCGTCATTTGAGCTTTGTCTTTGTCAACAGAATCAAACACAAATTGAAGGTTTAGTTTCTTTTTTATATCCCCTTATAATTTTTATTTCTGTCGTGGGTTGATTCAGCTACACGAACATGAAGCCTTATTTCGGAGAATTGCTTATTATAGCAAGCATTATTTCTGACATGAGTGCCCTTTTTTTTGTCATTTTAAGCAATTTTCTGGGAGTTTCTTAGTAGAAAATAAGGAAAGTTGTGGTGTGGATTCATGATTAATGTCATTCCTTCATGTTATTTGGTTTCTTTATTTTTGTGTCGATTAACTCCAGAGGCACACATAGAACGAAGTTGCTAGACAATTTTCATCCTTTATTTTGTTTTTCGAATTCATTACACAATGATTATAACGCGAAGAACTATAATCATAAATATGCTTTTTCTAATTATTTTTAACTATAAAATTTCACAATAATATTCACAACTCGCATAACTTTGTGAAATTTTTAGTGTTAGCCAATGCGGTAATGGAATTCCTTTTGATCATGAATAGGCTGCCCAGAAATGGTTTGAACTTGGAAGCTCGCTATTCTTGGTGGGAGAGACTAGTGAGAATGACTACAACCATCCACTTCTTGAAGGATTAGAAGATATTGAAACCAAAAGAAGCTTTGTTACTTATGTGGTTCGTGCCATTGGTTCAGCTATGGAGGTAAGAGTACCAAATCCAAGCATTTAGCTTGCTTCTTACTGGAAGAGTCATCGTAGTTTTTTTGCCTAATTTTTCCACACTACATCTATTTGTCTCCTAGAATTAATGATCCCCTTTCCTCATGAAAAGAGAGGTCTACGGGGTCTTTTTCGGAGGATTTCTCAAAAAGCAAGTTGCATTTTAGTGAGGAATCTGGGAATATGAGTGCAAGGAATGACTTTGACAAGGCAGATGAGAAGTTGGATTGTAGCAAGAGGGTTCCTAAAAGCTGAAAATCCCTACTTACCTTTTGTTTTATCGTGAAGAATATTGGAATAATACTAATTCAATCCCTCAATTTTGTTGTTATAACTGCCTTTCTAGCATCATTGTTGCAGGGAAAATGGTGGCTTTAGCTTTGGAAAGTTCATCTTCTAGGCCACAGAAACAGAGTGTTGATTTTCTTTTTTAGTGTTTGTGATGCAGGAATTTGTTGTTTAAGCATGAATTTGTAACTGAACATGGCTTTTTACCGCTCGAATCCTGCGAAGCATTCAATGGATGGAGCATTTCGCAGCTTGTCTGATTCGATCTCGATGAATGAACTAGACATTTGAAAGACCACAGGTTTTGTTGCCATGCAAAATTACAAAGACCAGTTGCGTATTTTGTCTAACTAATAACCAGAATCCACAAGAATATCCAGCTTGACCAGTTGCGTATTCAGACAATCCAGGTTTCAAATCCCTGAAATATATAAGTTAAACACTGCAACTTGATCAACTGGATAATATTGTTTCCATCCGTATCGCTGGTAAGGTCGACTGAATTGCCATCATCGGTAGATACAATTGAACCAAGACACATGAACAAAGTCATAAGGCTCGTGAAGCGGCTCTCTGGCAAGAGAGGGATCGAAATTATATGCATTCTACTATAAGTAAATACAGGCCTGCAGAGTATTGATCCTGAATTCCTGATTTCCTCCATAAACAAATCCTAACCCGCGACCGGTGGGGAAAAGTTTTCCGTTTCAACAAGTGAACTATTCAAAATTCCCCAAGTTCTTCAGGCAATTGTTCTTCAGGTCACACGTTTTAAGTTTTACGAAAATTCTAAAATCCATCATCGATTCATTGGCTTCTGATGCCTGCATGTTTCATTATCCTGTGATAATATATTACAGTAACGGAGGTATCTCAAGTAGGTAGGTATCTCAATAATGATAGATTACGACAATAATGAGACTCATGTAATTAACAGCAAAGGGCACATGAAACTAGTAACACAATAATCAACCCAATGAATGATAGATTTAAAACATGAGACGAAGATTAAAGTCAGAGGAACACGTAGTGCCTCCAAAATCATATTATGTAGGATCCAAAATTCAAAAGAAACTAATAGAAGAGGACTTGAGTTCAAACTAGTGCCTTTTTGTCACCTGATAATATCTTCATCATCAGCTCATATAATTCCTAAAACAGCCAACTTAGAGATCTCCCATCAGATGTGCAAACGCCTGATTCCTTTATCAGCTCAAAGCCCCCCCACCACTTAGTACATCATCCAGTGTTAGGTAAACACTACTACTATCTTGTAGAAACGAGGTGTGAACAAAGAATTTTTCGCAGCAAATCATGCTTTGATTATATGCACGAACTAAATCATGAGGAATCTTATAAGGGATAGGAAGATTTTCAATCACGAAACACTCAAACTTATTGGTGTGGTGGTTATAGGAACAAACAGGCCAGCAGTGGTCTTGATTTCTCAACCAAACATTCGTGAATAAAATCTCACCGGTGGGTAAGTTTCCGATATTGATAACGAAATATGCCACTTCCCCAAGTTGTTCAGGCAGCTGTACACAATGCTTTTTCCATTGCTTATTTTCTTCAAACACAAAGAGGGTAAAACACCTGAAAGGATCATCTTGCCCAACACTCCATATAGCCGGCCGCCCCATGGACAGAGTAAAAACAGGGCTTTGTATTAATCTCCACTCATCTCCTCTGATGCCCTCCTGAAACTCAATCATTTGAAATATCTCATTGTTTAGATCGAAAGTGAATAGTTGTAATTTTGGGTATGTCGAGTACCACCATAGGAAACCATCATTGCCCAAGATAGAACTTCCATCGAACGGCGGCGGTTCCTTGACGGCACCAAGAATACCACCAAGGCCACATTCAATCAAGTCTAGCTTCCTCCATGATGATGTACTATTATAATTGGAGGGCCTCAGCGTCATTATATCGGCTCCTACCGGGTTAGATCGTTTAGCATTCCGAAGGAGGAGATGATAGTTCAATCTCAGTAATTTGTACATCTTGCTCATCGGATCATACCCAAGATGGAAACAGGATCCAGGAGTGGGGTGATCATGAGGAAGTGTCATCCTCTGCCCAGTACAAACATTGTAAATACTCAATTCAGATGCATCATCATAGTGACAAACTAGACCATTAACTGATTGGGTCAATCCGTCCGGGATAGTAATTGCACACCGCCAGGGTACACCTTCAACATGTCTACTAAATTTTTGTTCCTTGTTCAACTGCCGGAGATTTGAGTCATAGTACCGGAGCCGTACACTGGTGGTAGAACTCGTGCCATCAGCCATGTTTTTTTCCGGCCAAAAAAAATTCAGGGTCATTTGACGACTCCGGTAAACCGCCCGAAAAAGGGGACTCCCGATAATTGATCGCCAAAGCTTGCACACGCACTTACATCGACCCAGTTGCTTACCTGGAAGCCACGCCAAAATTTCCACAACTAACTCATCCGGCAGTAGTAGCATTATCGCTCAGTTTCCGGCCACCGGAATGGGCTGTATAGTAGAAACGAAATAATCGGAGAGAGAAGAAGCGGCACCGTGAAAAGTTTGTGGCTGTATGCTAAAGTATTAGGTTTTGGAAGTATATTTAAATGGGAATGCCTATGTCCAGTCGACTGAATCATATAGTCAATAATAAGAGACGTTGGATTACTAAAAATTATTATAGCCGTAGGATTAAAAACGTGCACCATAAAGAAAAAAATAGTCCTCCACATAGTATAATTCTACAGTAATTGGCAACCTAAAGAACAAGTTTTGTCAAATAATGGGAATTATCTTCTTAACTCTTTTTTTTTTTTAATAATATCATCCAGAGATAAAGATTGACGTAACTTTATTTGAGAAATTTTTGAATAGTTTTAGATTGTTCTTTTTTATTCTATATTTACATAGATTATAATAATGTATTCAACCAAATTCAATCTTCCCGTATGACGCTAAAAAAGAGACCAAACTAAAATTCCAAAACCAAATTCTATGAAAATTTCTCTATTAGACATTTTTTTTTTCCATGAATTAAAAAAAGAGAAGAGAAAACAAATCCCATCATGCTTTGACATTGTGAATCCCAACAAGCCAATATTAACCAAACATGAAGAGAAAGATAACTCCGATCACTGTAGCAACCCAATGCCCGGATGTCAATTTCCTCTAATGTGCTATTCTTAATACCGCATCCGTTCCGCCGTAACAAAAAGTTCTGTTTTATTAAAGTAAAACAGTATGACAAACGCAACTTTAATCTTTAGATAAAAAAGAGTATTAATAACAGTTTAACTTAATTTATAATTGTAACTTGATTTTGGCAACTGCGTGCATATTTTTATCTTTCAAGAAGAATCGAACATGTCATAATTAAGTTCGGTGGATTACACTGACACACACAGAACAAAAGCATCTGGCAATAACAAACAAGCATATGGGCAGCACTTCTTAATCCTCTTCATGGAATTTGGATAATTTGCTCCCAATTTGATTCAGTCTCTGGATCATGAGATTGGAATTTCCACAAAGAGCAGACTAATTGGACATTTCATAAATGGGCGGCGGCAGCTACAGAGATCCAACTGGGTCTGGGTGGTTTTTGGATCTATATGCTCATGAAGTTCATCCTTCATGCATGGTTTTTGCTCTCTCTGAATTGCTTTCGCGATTAAAATTTCTGTGCTCAATTTTCTTTTAATGAAGATACAGTAATAATTCCGATACGAGTTTTTGTGTTATATTCACGAGTTGAAAACAAAATCCTTAATAGGTTTGATTACCTGATTAGTAGGTTAACAATTGATAAGGATATATTAAAATATTTCTCACCCCACAATCATTTAATAGACGCTAAATTCTGATTAGTTATAATTTAACTAAATGGTTCAGTCAAAATCTAATGACGGGATCATAGAATTTTCTATATTTAAATTACTTATATATTAAAAAAACAAATACAATACCTGCAAACTTTGTACTCTCCTTAATTGACACGCGACATCCAACCAATCAAATAGTCTTTGATTTTCTATGTTTCCTTCTTACTTACTAATTATTGGCCGGCGATATTAACGACCCAAAAACTAGCTCCAGAGTAAATAATGTACTACTTAATTTTTTTTTGGTTAACACTACTTAATTTTTAAATTACCCTCATCTATGGTTGTCTCTCAGTTCATTTGTTCTTATCAGACTTATCTCCCAAAATAATAATATTTTAATTATCACCTACAACTTACGGATTTTTTTTTTATACACAATTACAACTCACGGACAGAGCTTTTTGTTTCATTTGTTGCAACTTTGCAGGAAATTTGATTTTTGTTTCATTTTTTCCTTTCTTAAATAGTAACAAACTAGTGTGGACGGGTTGTGAAATATTTACACAAAAATTAGTGCATAAAATAAAGTCTTGATTGAATAATCATTTAAAAATTATAATAGTGTAATAAATAATAAAGGGCAAAGTATACGTACATGAAGATAAAAAATAAAAAATATAAATGTGGCACAAAAGAACCGAGCACTCCATTTTACCGATTGAAAAGCAAAGGCACAACCTGGCATCACCAACCCAACTCCTTTACGAAGACAAAGACGAATAAAGCCGACAAAGATATTAACTTGATTTGAGATAATAGTCATATAGTGATCCTAAAGAGATAGTCATTTTATCATGCGTACAGTTCTTCAAAGCGTTGACATAAAATAATGGATCTTGGTACAAAATAAGTTTAGCACTCCTTTTACTCGGTACAAAATAATCAGTCTATTATGACCCCCAAAGTGCGATTCAAATCAAATTAGTCACACCTTTCACATGAAAATGCTTACATTAATTTTTAGTCACACCTTTTCAAGTGCTTCTTTGTAAACCACATTAGTAGTGCGACATCAAAAATCCCTATTATTATTACAAATGAGAACTTTTAATCCTTTTCTTGATTTCACTCTAGATAAGGCAATATATAACTGACCATGAATGAAAACTGGACGTCTTAATAATAGACCAACATTTGAAAGTGATTGCCCTTGACTTTTGTTTATTGTCATGGCGAAGCAAGCAACAACTGGAAATTGTCTCCTTTTGATTTTAACTGGTATACTCTTATCGGTGGGATCAATAACCATTCGGGAAATAAAAACTCTTCGACCAATATTTGTACCTGAAATTATTTTTGCGTGAATCACTCGTTCACCCAAATCAAGAACTTGCAATCTTGTCCCATTACAAAGACCTCCAGGCTGATCCAAATTTCGAAGCAACATAATGAGAACACCAACCTTAAGTGTTATTTTATGATTTGACAAACCTGAATATTTAATGCTGTTTAGAAAATCGACGGAGTACATCGGATTTTCTTCGTTATTGAAAGGTTTATCTTGAGTGTCAACACTATCATAACTATTATAAACCTTAGCATTTCCCCTCAAAAGAGTCAACATATGATCATTGATAGCGACTACATCATCATGACTTGGAGCTAGAATGGCCTTTCATCAATTAAATTTGGTATATCCAAACATTGTTCTATTTTTGGATAAATGATTTTGCAAATAGTAGAGATTGCATTACCAGAACCATTGACACATATATCCTCAGGAAGATCAATATCTATTATGTCATCATTTATTTCTCCTACTTTTCCATCACCAATTCTGAGTAACCATTCAGAAAACTCTTTAACCTCAACGGATAATTCTTTATTATTCCCTTGGCGAAGTCTCATATTCTCCGTTAATCTTAATACTTCACAAGATGTCCAAATGGGAGAAGAATTTATGGATGCACGAACAATTTGCTGTCGGGACGCCTTTGGAATAATAGGCAAAATCTGTCTGAAATCACCCCCGAAAACTGTTAAAATTCCTCCAAAAGGATGTTTTTTTTACTCCAGATGAATAAAAACAGCTGAGATCTATTAATATCCTATCTAAGGCCTCAAACAATACCTACGGCACATAGGTGCTTCATCTCATATAATTAACTTTGTGTTTGCGAAGAGATCTGCCAAATCACTTTCAGGATCTATTTTACAAACAGAATGGTCGTATATGTTAAGAGGTATCTTAAACCTTGAATGAGCTGTTCGACCACCTTCCAAAAAAAGCGAAGCAATACCACTCGAAGCAACATTTAGAACAATATCACCTTTGCGACGCAATGCAGCTGATAATGTTTTCTACATGTATGTCTTTCCAGTTCCACCATAACCATACAGGAAACAAAGAACTCCTTTACAACGATTAACTGCACCAATAATCTTTTCATACACACCTTTCTGCTCATCAGTTAAACTATCAAAAGAATCATGTTTTGTTGCCATAACTTGTCTATCATACTGAAATTCAGCATTTATGAAATTATTGGTAAGACGTCCTTCAATAAAATCATGCGGATATGACATATGTTCAAACATTTTCAAACTCTTTCCCATTTTTTTCAATACTTTCTCAAGCTCGTACAAAGTATAATTATGTAAATCTTCTTCAGTCAGATGAATGCCTATTTGTTACAAATAAAAATCAATTATTTATTTAAATTAATAAACAAAAACAATATCAATGTTTTTATTTATTTGTTACAAAGTATAATTGGGTCAATCCGTCCCGATAGTACAATTACACTGCCAGGGTTCACCTTTAACAGGTCTTCTGCTGCTTGATGAGAGTAACTAAATTTTTCTTCCTTGTTCAACTGCCGGAGATTTGAGTCAAAGTACCGGAGTCGGACACTGGGTAGTAGAACTCGTGACAATAAAAAATCAGGGTCTGTTGACGACTCTGGTAAACCGCCCGAAACAGGGGACCTCCAATAATTGATTGCCAAAGCTTGCACATGCACTTACATCAACCCAGTTGCTTACCTGGAAGCCATGCCGAAATTTCCAATACTAACTCATCCGGCATTGGTCGCATTATCGCTCAGCTCTCGGCGACCGGAATAAGCTGTATAGTAGAAACGAAATAATAGGAGAGAGGTGAAACGGTATTAGGTTTTTGGAAGTATATATAACATTATAATAAAAGAAGAAATAGGGAAATTTATTATTATTATTATTATTATTATTATTTTTTTTTTTTTTTGACAAAATCAAAATCACTTGATTTTGGAGGTCCCCGTTACAAGTGATAAAAAGAAATACAAAGATCGCTGAATCCAAAGAACCGCTAACCAACATATATAGAAGCCCATAAAGTTCCACCGACATATATAAAAACCCATAGAGTTCTATCGGGAAGGCAATGAGGAAGCCCACATATATAGAAGCCCATAGAGTTTTACAGACATATATAAAAGCCCATTGAGTTCCACTAGAAAGGCAATGAGGAAGCCCATAGTGTTCCACCGACATATATAAAAGCCCATAGAGTTCCACCGGGAAGGCAATGGGGGAGTAGCTCATAGACTTATATATTGATATCAAACCTCTCCCACTACCAATGTGGATACTTAACACTCTCCGCAAGTCTAACGTCTCTTTTTTGGATTGGGCTTGTCAGCCCAGTCATCGCCTCACGTCTCAGTCCTACCAGTTCTATCACAT